GTACCACAATACATAAATATGTTTTCCGGGTCAATATGAACATACATTTTTATTCCACGGTTATTTGGATGCACTGACTGCCAGATCAGGACTACATTTATCTGTCAATGTTTGTCAGGGTCATACCCATAAGGACCTTCTGTTATGGGACTGGGGGAAGTGCTGAATGGACCCTGTGGAGACGTCACGCTCTGCGTCACGCCTGTAGTATTTCCATAGTCGATAGACTTGATACTCATGAATGGATGACGTGGCTGTGTGGGCTGAGCCACGCAACAGCTGCCCTGAATTCTAAAGAAAGCAACCACCTACAGTAAGGGCAGCCATACACTGTGCGGAATTTCGCCAGGTTCCTTGAGAACTCCCGCTGTCTGCACCCTTTCGGCTGGCATCCCTCGATCGGCTGTTCGAAGGAGCCGGTCGGAAAACCTTTGTATGACCAGAGGCAGCAGCCAACGAGCTTCCCGAACTGTTTGGGTATTCTGACAGGGGCCGGTGTTCTATCGAAACTTCCAACTTTTCGACCTCTCCAACTTGTGACGAACACTGACACTCGTAGCGTTAATGGAGGAATCTGTTCTACTTTTTTCATTCAAGCCACAGGTTGAACGAGAAAAATAGAGCAGTGTATGGCCAGCCTTAGCAAGGCCCTGTAATTCAGGTATGGGGGGGGTTTGATTTTCGGGGGTGTTGTATACGACAAGGCTTTATGTTACACCATACTTATATGGGAGTATGCCTTTAAAATAATGTTTTCCCTCTTTTAGATAGCAATGCTCACCATACACACAACTATCACTGTTCATTTTCATCCCTAATAAGTGTGATAAATCCAACCCACATTGATCTGCCCATACCAAACATGGCCGCCACAGCCGAGGTGTCGCTTTTAGGCATACGTGCTTTGCCCATAACAAACAAGGCCGCTGCAGCCCCTGTGACGCTTAAAGACATTCGCGCTTTGCCCATAACAAACATGGCCGCTTCACCCACTGTTACCGAATACTAACAGCCCCGTTGCCCAAACCAAACATGGGCCACTGTTAGAACAGCTCGCCGCGCCTAGCCACGCCTACTAATGAGACCTAAGCGGCCGATCACTAAACTCCATCAAGAAGCGGTGGGAGGCAAAGCCCGGAGTAGTCGATTCTGTTTGCAGCAGGAGGAAGGTAATGGCTGGGTGTTCACAGATTTGGGAGGATCAGATCCGTCAGTGTGTGTTTACAGTGATTGTCTGCAATTGTTTTGTTTTTTCAGCAGAGCAGCTATGAAGGTTCATATCAAGTCCTGGAATGGGGTGGCCTCCTGGCTGTGGGTGGCCAATGATGACAACTGTGGCATCTGTCGGATGGCTTTCAATGGCTGTTGCCCTGACTGTGAGTATAGAGAGACCCACCACTGAGTATGGGCCGGCTTCACTCTTCTCTTCTTCTATGTTTTCTTCCTACAATTTGCTTGCTGAGCATTCATATGTATCATTTATCTGTATCTGCCTCCCCTCCTTCTTAAAGAGCCCCTGTCATAGTGTCAGCTGGTTTCACCCTCCCCTCCTCCATGTGAGAGTTTTGAGGCCTGGTGATTGGGTGCTCAGACTTGAGCAGCAATGCATTGTGGGAGGAGATTACATGCTGCCCTCTACCCAGGAGCCCCTGGGGCAGGGCGAGAAAGGTGAGTAACAACAGGAGGGGAAGGGGTTGTTTGTCCTTATGAAGGTACCTGATACTTTGTCCTGAATGGCCCAAGTGACAGGTTCTCTTTAATCCTGTGCACCAATCATAGACGTCAGATCAGCCGCGGCCTACAGATCCTTTCACATTTCCTGAGAACTGTTTTGAATAGTGGAAAGCCTGATTGCCTCTGGCAATGCCCCAGGCCGGGCATTTGTTCTGTGAGGACCATAAGGGGATTGTCATTATGATGTTACCTAGTGCAGGACTGCAAGTCCCTGGAGATCCTTCTGTGATTTGCCACAGCGGTAGGTTGACAAAGGAAGGTGAATGACCCCCTCTGACTCTGGGAAGCTTATGGGATCGGCAATCAGTTTTGAGACTCTCGGGCATCGGCATGGCTGCCTGCACTCTGGCTGCAGGAGCGTGTAAAGAGGGGTGACAATGCCACTGCTGCATTGGAATCGGGGGGTATGGTGTCACCCTACAGGAAGTGCTATTGCAGGGACTACATCTGCCCTCCCTGTTCAGTCCCACCCTGGACTATACCTGGGCCTCTCTGACCTCTGTTGTTTGCTTATTCTGCCCACTTCTGATGTCAGTCATTCCCACCAAGACACCCCAAGTAAAGATTGGGGGTGTTGCCGTCATGGGATTTTGTTTCACGGAAGTTTGGAGTTGATGTTTGCCTTTAGCAGTTGCAGTGCTTCCATAGAATTATAGAATTAGCATAAACTAGTTTTCAGGAGTATCACTTAAGAAGAAGCGCATGTATCCTTTTTGCTCCCTACCTTACACCCCCCCCCCCCCCCCCCATCTACAGATGCCCACGTGCTTCAATCCGCGGTCTCCGGTGTTTGTTTACAATCAGTGTAGCAAGTCTTCGCGCTCCTGTCTGCGTCTGTACATAGCAGCTCCATAGACTTCTATGGGAACGGTGTCTCTCTTCATTCTCAGCCTTGGGACAGCGCTCCATAGAAGTCAGCGAGACCTGCAGAGCTGCATGTAAGCAATCTCCGGATCAAGGCAAGTACACGTCTGTGGAGGGGGAGGGTTGGTTACATCAGGACAAAGGGGTAAAAAGGACAAGTGCACTTTTAAAGGGGTCCATTTACAACAGTTTTGCCCCGCATATAGCCGGGTGGATGCCGTCAACAAGGCGCCCCTAGCTGGCACGCGTGAGTATAGGCGTTTCCTATATTCGGCACTGACATCTAAATGAACACCAAAGTGTATGTCAATAAAGAAACGGAAGATGAGAACTCATGCACGGCTGACAACACTACTTGGGATTTCAGTGCTGCAGAGGCAGCGTTGTCATCTGGCTACAGAGATGGAGGAGCTCGCTGGGTTTCTGGCAGATCAGCAGGTACATTGGGCACATTTTTGCCCGGACATAAACAATGTCGTATAGAATTATTCTGCTTTCTTTGAGGACCGGTGTACGCCACAACGTGTTTTTTTCTGCTTTCAGATGCGTTGCGTTAGACAGCCCATTCATAATGATTAGGCTGTAATGCACCCTAACGCAAGACATATAGTGCACATTGCATTTTTTTGCAAGCAGCGCATATTGTGCTGATGTGCGTTAAGGAGCCATTCAAAATTAATGCCACTGCGACACACCAATTTGTGCATGCTGCTTTGCAGTAACGCATGCGTTTTGCCCCTATGCACTGCTGTGAACGAGCCTTTAGATTCTTTCTTGCCCCAGCGACTCTTTCGCATTTCGCTGGGTCGACTGACCTGCACCAAAGATCCTCTATGTGTACAGAGCGCCGTATTAGGCCTAAGCGCACTGTAACGACATTTCTCAGCACAGAGCGGTTAGGGCCGGTGGGAATTCCACGCATGCCGCCACAGCCATTGATGTAGAGTTATGTCTGGTAATCTCCAGGCCCAGCTGTTCAGAACTCCTATAATACCAGCACATGGTAATATAATGTGAATCATTCGCTTTGTATTACTCTTCCGCTCTGACTTATAATCTCTCGGCTTCTGCGTCCATAAAGGGAATTTCTCCTCCCGCACCTCATAAGTGTTTCATATGTTATGTCGGGTCGTAGTGTTGTAAGGACAAACAACAAATCAAAAAGCTGACGTTGTATAGAGTGCCGTGTACGTTTTATGGGACATATGTTTTACTTATTGCGATGTTTACCTTTAAATCATTGATGTGACTTTTACATGTTTACATGCTTGATCTGCTATATGTTTGTTATTGCATTAAATGTAGAGATGAGGATGGGTTGGGGTAGAGGAGATGAGGATACGTTAGAGTAGTATTAAAGGAGAACTATGAGGTGAGTGCTTTTCACTCATCCTCATAGTTCTAGCCGACCTGTGACAATGAGACTGTCACAGGTCGGCTCAGTAGATCGGGAAGTGAGCGAACACATACCGGCGTTCGCTCACCTCTCGATCCTGTCACAGCTCTCTGCCGTGACAGGGGAGGGGCTAGATTCCCTCTGAGCTTAGGGTGACGGGAGGACGCTAGTTTGTGTCCTCCCATTACCCTAAGGAGAACTATGGAGAAAAGCCTTAACCCCATAGTTCTCTTTAAGGGTATTCTATATTTTTGTTACTGTATTACGTGTAGGGTAGAGTAGGTTACAGTAGAGGTGGACAAATTAATATGGAATTCGGGAGCCAGCAGGATTTTTTTTTAGGCTCTAGCTCCACTGACAACAACTAGAGAAACCTCAAAAGTTAGATTCCAGCTGGACATTTTAAGAATCACTGGCTTCTGGGATTTGTCCAGCTGGGTTATGGTAGAGTAAGTTAGAGCCAAGGATCTTATATTTTTGTTGTTGTATTAAATATAGGGTAGGATAGTGTGGGGTTAGCATAGGATAGAGTGGGGTTAGCATAGGATAGAGTGGGGTTAGCATAGGATAGAGTGGGGTTAGGATAGGATAGAGTGGGGTTAGGATAGGATAGAGTGGGGTTAGGATAGGATAGAGTGGGGTTAGGATAGGACAGAGTGGGGTTAGCATAGGACAGAGTGGGGTTAGCATAGGACAGAGTGGGGTTAGGATAGGACAGAGTGGGGTTAGCATAGGCTAGAGTGGGGTTAGCATAGGCTAGAGTGGGGTTAGCATAGGCTAGAGTGGGGTTAGCATAGGATAGAGTGGGGTTAGGATAGGATAGAGTGGGGTTAGGATAGGATAGAGTGGGGTGGGGGTTACTACCACAATAACTCTTTCTAACTGCTTATCAGTTGCTGACATAAGATTTCGGGGACACAGGAAGTGCATTATTTTCAGTGAGTCAGCTGACCCATATTGTGAGCTGGATCTTCAAAGCACAAGCGTCAAGCAGCATTGCAAAGCAGGAAGCAGATCTCTGCCATTTAATGCACAACTATAACTGTCCACATGTATGCAGTCATAAACTATATACAGAAACAAGAATTTGAATGGAATACAGTTGACCTCCGGCCTTCCCTTCAGTCTTCTATCTGACCTCCGGCCTTCCCTTCAGTCTTATACCTGACCCCCGGCCTTCCCTTCAGTCTTATACCTGACCCCCGGCCTTCCCTTCAGTCTTATATCTGACCCCCGGCCTTCCCTTCAGTCTTATATCTGACCCCCGGCCTTCCCTTCAGTCTTGCACAGTTGTACCGGCTCCTCTCCTGGACTGGAATCTCTTCCTCTGATATCACTGCACCCTGGGAGCTCCTCACAATGTGCATTAGAAGCTGCAGCAAGTACCAGTCTCGGTATTGGCGGGACAGAAGTGACAGTGGATAGATCTATGCCGGGTCTCTGTGTATATTACAGATCTGCAGACACTGAGCTTGTCGCGGTTTATCACATTTTTATGTTTCTCTTCACAGGTAAGGTTCCGGGGGACGATTGCCCCTTGGTTTGGGGTCACTGCTCGCACTGCTTCCACATGCATTGCATCCTCAAGTGGCTGAACTCCCAACAAGTACAGCAGCACTGCCCTATGTGCCGCCAGGAGTGGAAGTTCAAGGAGTAGATTGCTGCTTTCCCTTCCTGTTTCCTGGGACTCCTCATGTCCTGTCTGGTCTCCAGTCAGCGACGGGTAATCCGTGGACCTACAAGATGCTGAAGACCGACACATTTCCAGACTCGCAGCATCAGTTTTAGGATTCATCTTCACCAACTTGCAATTTAATTTCCAATGAGAACCAGCCTGGACTGTAACGTGTCATTTCTGCAGCACCACCTGCAGGTGAACGTTTGTATTACCATGCGACCATTTAACATAATGCCACACGTGACGTCCACTGTGTACACAAGAGGACAGATCTGAGTATACTGGTGACAAGAAGGCCACGTGGGC